GTTGTGCCTCCTAATTACTGGAGAGAAGCTTTTTTTTTGTTTCTTGGAACTCTACTGAGGCAGTCCAGTTGAATTGGACTGCAGCAGCCTTTGCAGGTTGCATTCATTGCACACAGTTCTACTCTGAGCCATTTTTATGCCAGTCAAACATTAAGCTGAAGGTTTGAAGTCCACTGAAACCTAGCTCATCCCTGTAGTGCTTCATATTTTTGCCACACGTCTTCAAAGGTTCAGCTGTGGCCTCTAGCAGTCTTTTAGCCATTCCTTTTCATTTCTTTCCTCCTTCAGTAATTTTTCTCATCTACAGCATGTGTGGCTTATGCATGGGGTCTTTTTTTTGCTTTTCAGCCTTCTTGTTGCTATGGCACTGATAAGTGGCAGAGTAACAGGATCTGTTTGCACTGTTGTCATGGAAATAGCCAAAGTACTGGTAGATGGCTTTCTATCTTCTGTCTGAAACTACATTCCACAGTGTCTGATAGCAAAGAGACTAAAAATGGGCTGAGGAAGTGTGGGGGGGGGGCAGAAATGGAAACTTTAATGCTGAATGCTTTCTGTAGTTTCAGTGGAGGGTCACTTGTTGCTATTAGCTTTATGAAGAGATCAGCTATGCTCAAAGTAGGGTGCAAATGTGTGCACTTTTATAGACTTTTTTTACATTTTTTTTTGTCTTGGAAGTTGGACTTCCTTCAGTCAGTCTCTTATGATTCTGTGGTGGTTGTTGTGATCTGAAGATCACATGGCTGAGAAGCAGTTGATTTTTCCTTGCAGCTTTACTCCCTATAATTCCTAGGCTAGTACGTTCTCCTCTTTAAGTACACTTTTATAAACAAAAGAAAAAACAAGCTGCCAAATTTAAAATGAAAGCTTATTACTGTGCATATGCAGTTTCTACTCTGATACTTAAGCACTTTGAATATTAAGGAGGAGCTGCGACAATCCACTGATTTCAGTGGAACTCAGTATTGTTTTCCTTATTCAAAGCTCCACTGTGTAAGGTGCCCATTAGTTTTAGTCATTAGGCTGTATCTTGTCAGGATTAACTCCCTGACAGTTGAGAATAAAAGGTTGAGTCAAATCTTTTGCACAACTAGGAAATTCTGTCTCCCTTGGAATGTTGCATCAAAAATATCTGGAGTTGAGGAAGTGAAGGGAGCTTTATGCTCTGTTTTTGGGGAATAGAGGGGTTGCCCACTTAAAAGAAATGCAACTGATCTGATAGAATTGTTCGAATATCATTCATTACAGCATTTACGTATAGATTTTTTTAATCTAACAAATTCTTTTTTTCTCCTGCCAAATAAGTGTCTGTCACCTGCAATGCAGAACTTAATTAAAGTGTATTACTATTGTTTGCTTGGCTCTTATTCTTTAAACCACTACTTAACTCTCTCTTTCATTTTAAGTGAAACATTTGGAGCCAGATACCATTTGTATACCTCTCATTGCAGGAGAGAGCTCTCTGGTAGAGTACCTTTTTAAAATATCGTAACTTCCAATTTTATTGGTGTTTCTCATAGGTCTTCCCCTGATCTTCACACCTCCCTCCCCTTCTTGCCCAGTACAGGGTTTCTAGGCATCTATACCAGTACTGGCAACTGAGCTCTCAAGTAAGGGAAAACTATCAGAGCTCTCCTGTCGACATCCCAGGTTGAAATGTATTTCACCAGTGTCAACTGGCCTCCTAAGGTGCGTCTCCTAGGCTTTTCGGTGCCTGTCTAAGATTTTTAGTGAAAGGATTCTGTCAGGTAAAACTTGATGACAGTTCCAGACTTGATATATACTGAGTTCTTGAGTTTAATTTTTGGCCTAAAATGTTTTCATGGCTAATTCCAGTGGAAAATTTAAGTGCATGAATCCAGACCATACAGCTATGTCCATAACAGCTCAATTTAGAAATGTTATTGGGCTCACTGGCTTTCCATTTCAGCTTCTTACTTTAGTTAATCTTGAATAATTGTAATTAGAAATTGAGACTCTTTTTTTTTTAACCTCTTAGAAAAGTTGTAGTAAAGAAATTCTAAGAGGTGATGCCTTTTGTTTTTTAACCTGACAGTCATTGTGGGTTTTTGTTGTGTTTTTAATAGCTTTGTGATCAGGTGCACAATAGGGTAGGATACTTGTCTGGTTATCACTGCACTGCACAAGGGTATGATTGGATTAGGGGCCTGGCTTTCTTGAAGCCTGTTTCTGATGCTTGCTAATGTCTGTCAGTGTTCTCCAAAGGGGAGAGTCAGTTTGTTTTCTCTACCTATTAATGGAATTCCAGGTATTACTTTACTGTGCCATTTGTGAAGGTTTCCCGAATACTGATTTAATACAGAATCTTGAAGTTTAACTGTGAGCAATAGCAATTAATGGATCAAAAGAGTTAAAAGAGCTCGCAAGCAAAAGTTCTGAGTTCTGTAGAGGGGTATTTTTTTCTGGCTTTGTCCTCTACTTTTGCTTGCTGCATTGCAGCCCTTTAACATTTCAAAGGCACCTGAAAACTCTCCCTTCGGGCATCAAGTGATCAGACTGTGCATGTATTTAACAATGTTTTTCATTACTTTCTTGACAGTAGGCTCAACCATTCCATTTGCAAGACTGCATTGGGAACCCACAACTCCTAGTGAAATACTTGCACATTGCTCTAACTGGGAGCTAAAAACTATACCTCATTGTGTGGATGGGGATGTGCGCTTGTATGGGCACAAATGCCTAACACTAGCTGCTACAGGCTAACCACCTCCACTTGAGTTATTACTAGTGATACTGTAATACCTATCTTCAGTGCTGGCAAGTGTAAGGATGTAAAGCTTTCTTCATTGTCACCTGAAAACCTTGGGAGTGCTGGCCAGTGCCATGGCAGGGTATGGCTAGGTGATGCCACAGAACCTCTCATTTAATGTGACGAGACATCCGTTCCGCTCTTTTGCCTTTTATATTGTTTCTAGTTTATCCTCCAGGGAGGACTTTTTAAGTTTCATGCAGGATCTTCACACAGATACCTTTTTTTTTTCTCTCTTCCCCCTCCCTTCTTAGGGAGCCCCCTGCTCTCTGGTTGCCTGGGGGAAGAGATCTTTTTTTTTTTATAGAAACGACGCCCACCCTGCCCCTCATCTTTAACGGCTGGACTTGTTTTCTTCCCCCCTCTAAATAAGGATGATCTAAAACAGTTGAAGTCCTGCCACTGCGGAGGTGGAAGCCAGGCTCAGCTTTGAAACAGCCGGCCCGGGGTCGGGGCTGTCCTGGTTGTGACGGTGCACGGGGAGGGCTGGGGCGGGCCTGGCGGGCTACGTGCTGCGCTGTTGCACCGATCCAAATATATTTTGTTATGTACGGAAGCAGCCACGTGTCTCGTTTCTTTCTGGCAGGGCGATGACGAGGGGGGCTAGAGCGCAGGCGTAGTCTACTTTCGCCCCTCCTTCCCCCGAAGGCTTGGGAGGGGGCCCTCGGGGCGCTGGGCGACCGGGCAAGTGCCTGCCGGACAACTGCAGCCAGGCAGCAGCTCCGCTTGGGGTGGGGGGGAGGTGGGGACTGGGGGAGTGAAGAGCGAGTGCTAACGGCCGCTGCGACTGAGGAAGCGCGAGGGGTTGGGCGCTCCTGCTCCCGTGAGGCAGCATGAAGGTTGACCGCCGCAAGGAAAGCTTCCGTTTCCGTGGCAACCAGCTCAACAGGAAGTGACCCCGGAGAGGCTTCTTGCGTCGGCCCCGCCCCCCCGACGCGGTTGTGCCAGCACCCCGCCCTACCTCCTCGCTCCGCCCCCCTGACGTACTGTTTAGCGCTACCGACACCCGCTCGCCTCGTCGTCCCCGGCAGCCGCTGCTGCGCAGGCGCAAGGGTGCCTGCGGACCCGGGGCAGAAAAGCAGGGCGCTGAGCGGGAACCTGGTAGTGCGGGGCGCTCGGTGGGGCTACTGCCCGGGGGGAGCCGGGCTGCGGGGAGGGGAGGCACTGCCAGCAAGTAACGGAAGAATGAAAGCGCCTCGAGTGGCGTCCGCGCACACGTACATAACACCTGCACACGCCACATTAAAGACTGGATGCGAAGGCACAAAGCAGCAGAGACGGGATTTGTTTGACACATTTGTGAAGCGAATTGTAATATCGTTCAGCAAAGTCCGGCCTAAGGCCTGTGATGTCATATGGGTCAATAATGCAACTGTTTCCCCAATAGTGCTCCATTTCCCAAAAAAACTGCCCATGCATGCACGTGTAGTGGCAAACGAGCCACCTGTACAGGGGTGTCGGTTGTAGCTGTGTTGATCTAAGGACACAGGCAGGCAAGGTTCTTTGGGTAAATCCGATATCTTTTATTAGCCCAACTCATAGTTGGAAAAATTCTTTGCAAGTTTTTAGGTGTTCGCAAAGGATCTTTCCTATCCTTTTAGTTGGTCTAATAAAAGACATCGGATTTATCCATCCAAGGAAAGGCTGAGGGATCTGGGACTCTTCAGCCTAAAAAAGAGAAGGCTGAGAGGGGACCTGGTATCAGCTGCACTGGGGAGTAACTCAAGGGCTCGGTGAGCCACTTTACCAGGGCACCTGAGGGGAAAACCCAGGAGTAAGGGCCACAAACTTGTGGAAGATGGATTCAGGCTCAACATTAGGAAAAACTTCATAGGGTGTCCAGACTGTGGAGTAAGCTTCCTCCAGGGGTGGTGCAGTTGCCTACCCTGGAAATTTTCAAGACAAGACTAAACGGTCACCTTGCTGGGGTCACCTGACCCCAGTTGTCTTTCCTGCTTGGTGCAGGGTGCTGGACCTGATGATCTTCCAAGGTCCCTTCTGGCCTTACAATCAATGAAACTTTGTTTGCCTATGTACAGTGTGTGCACACATACACATGAATGTACATACTTTAGGACTGACTCATGCCGGGTGCTGTGCCCCCCTGGGGTGCCTTGAGAGCCTTTCAGGGGTGCTGTGGGTGCCACACAATGTTTGCACTGAGTTATAGCTGCGAACGTGTTTTTCAAGGTAAACCCAGATATTTTGCCTAAGAATCCATAGTGTTAAAACATTCTGACCTGTTTATGGTTTTTCTGAGTTCTTTGCAACAGAAAAGCTGCTCTATTTTTCTGGACCCCAAAGAAAGCGAGAAACCTAAGAGCTGGCCTTATCTAACAAGTGCCTCAAGTCCTAAAAAAGGGTGAGAACCACTGCTCTAGAGAGGATGAAGTATTTAGTTTTACAAGATCATATATTTGGGCGTTTTTGGGGGGTTTTTTTAAGTCTAATTGCATTAAATGTGAATGAAATGACTTATGACTGACTGCTTTGTTGTAAACACAACCCCCTTGATTTATGCATCAACGTTTGGATATAAACCCACTCATTTTAGCAGGCCCAATTTGATTAAGTGTAAAACCACATCTTTTATTTTTTTTTTCTTTCTGTAGTTGTGTTTGTGGATTTCCATCTGGAGTTGCATCGGCATGTGAAATAAAGCAGCACGTTCCCTTTCTGCATCTGGCCACTTTATATTCTCCATTAGAAGGGGGGGGGGGGTTGTGTGTTTTTTGTTTAACAAGCCTAAAAGGTGGCAGCCCCACAATATAGATCAATGATTCTCAACATTTTTAGATTGAAGGCACCCTTCATTAGATGCAAGGCACTCCTTGGAAGATACCAGCTCCTGAGCTTTCATTCTTTTTGACTACAGAAAAATAATAATGCTATTCTTCTGTTCCGAAGAAATCCAGTCAGAATCTTTTAACACTATGAATTCCTGTTTGAAATCTCTTGTTTTATCTTGTGAATTATATTTGCAGACCTAACAGTGGTCTCATTTTTTTGGCACCCTGTAGCACCCCTTACAGGATCCCAAGGCATACCAGCATTCTGGCTGAGAATTACTGATACAGATATTTAGATTTTAACTTTGCTTTCAGGTTATTTGAATTGAAAATTTCTTTGGCTAAATGAGCAGTAGCTATTTGCCATGTCCCACAATGAAGTACCAGTTCCGGGGCCATCCTCTGCATCAAAACCAGAGGGCAGAAAAACAAAAGGTATCTCATCTTTGGTACCTGTCAGTACGGAAAATGCAGGTAAAGTTCAGCATAGATGATACAATATAATTCCATGTGGAAATCATGACTTCTTTTTCTCTCTGTCTGTTCTGCTGTTTTGGGATTGTAGATAGTATCAGAGTACTTTTATGGGAGACAACACTATGTCATGCCTTTGTTTAATAGCTGTTCACAGATGTTTCAGACACCAGTTTTAAAACATCTACGGATTAAATTAATTAGATGCGATAAAGTCTGGCACAGTTTGTGTCAGAGTTTATTGCTCCCAAGTGCAGCGTTTACATGTGCACCTGGGACAGTAGCACACTGAGCTGGGGCAGTGTAGCCCTGGCTGGCTGGGAGGGGTCAGCCTGCCAGTCCAGGGCTGCTCCTGCCGCGTGCTGCAGAGGGTCTGGCTGGGGCACAAGGGTGCTACAATGTGAGGTTAAGTAGCAGGCAGCCCCTCACTGTAGCACCCTCATGCCCTAGCCAGCCCCAGTCAGTGCCTACATGAGTTGCAGCAAAGTAAATAACTCCCTCATAAAATAGTACTTCTTTTGGGCAGTACTATCCTACGGCAGAATTGTTTTGATCTGACCTAGTAAGCACTGTTTGTGTAGATGGTGATGCTTTACTGAGGAACTAATTGGGAAACTGGAGTAAGCATCTCATGTAGATGCACTTACTGACTAACTAGCAATTGTATAGTAATTGAGATTTCCCACCCCCCCCTTTTTAAATATATATACCATTCTTGCTATGTTGGGGTGGGGGTTACATGGCTGTTACATTTGAATCTACTGTAGTTTAAATGTAATCCAGCACCTTGGGGCACCACCACAAGTGGTGAAATTAGTAATTTTAATGCTTATCTAAAGATTTGTATTAATATGTGCATAATGCAGTAAGACATATAAAATAACGGTAAGTAGCAGCATGTGGATGGAATTTTTTCCCCTTTTTGCTGATGCTGACATTTTCACTGAAAAGGCTGCCTCTATTTAGCAAGTAGTAGTGACAATAAAGAGACATCAGTATGTTGCAAGTGGGAGCACATTATCATGCTGTTTCCATGAGGTACTTCACTGATGTTCAACTAAAGATCCAGTCAGAATGGGGTCAGCTGACTGTACTGTTTTGAAAACAATATTTTTATCCCTAGCAATGTAGTGTTACCATCTACCGTAGGGTGCTTTCCTGCTGTTTTTCAGAGCTGAAGGACAAAACAAGGATGCTCGACTGTTTCAGGCTTCATTCTACCTCCCTCCAAAGTCACTTCATCCCTGAAGAGATCTTCCGTATGCTGACCTCTGCTTCCAGTACTGTCTATAACCCTGAATTTTTACAACCTCCCAAAAAAGGCAAAAGTGCAAAAGAGTTTAAGGTGTGTGCATTATTACCAGGAAGTGCATTTCCCCCTCCTATCAGACCTGATCATAATTGTCCCTTTTAAATGTATCTTAGTACAATGTCCACACGTGCAATCAAGAAGTTGAATTCTTCAAGGTAACGCATGGCTTTATTAGACTAACTGTCTTTGCTGTGTTTCTATTGGCAAGAAATTACATGGACTCATAAAATCATAATCTTGTTAACCAAATGATGTACTACTTTGTAATTACAACTGTTCTGATTAGATTGTAAGCAATATGGAGCAGGGGCTTTCGCTTTTTACTTGACTGTAAAATGCTCAACATACTTTGGGGATGGGATTATACAATATTAAACATTTATTTTGTGTGTTTTGGCTCTTGGCTCTATCTTGAGGCAGCAACAACATACACAAATTGGCTAGACAGTTGTTTTGATTGCTCCCACACCTTAAGAACTTTATTTTTTGTGCAATACTAGTATTAAAATGCTAAATATTTTAAAGAAAAAGAGTTTAAAAATCAATACTTTTAAAAAATAAACATAAGTAAACTGTTGAAACCTTACATTAAGACCTAAACTTATAATAATCTTTTAAATAAACAACGCTATCAAGTCACTGAACTGGGGGCAGGTTGTGAAAAATGCTAGCAGCATACTGGGCTGCATTAGTAGGAGTGTTGCCAGCAAATTGAGGGAAGTAATTATTCCTCTGTGTTTGGCACTGGTGAGGCCACATTGGGAGTACTGTCCAGCTTTGGGCCCTCCGCTACAGAAATGATGTAGACAAATTGGAGAGACTATAGCGGAGGGCAACAAATTGTTAGGAGGCTAGGGCACATGACTTAGAGGCTGAGGGGACTGGGCTTATTTAGTCTGGCAAAGAGAAGACAGAGGGCATTTGATAACAGCCTTTAATGACCTAAAGGGGGGGTCCCAAAGAGGATGGAGCTAGACTGTTCTCCATGGTGGCAGATGACAGAACAAGGAACAACGGTTTCAAGTTATAGCCAGCTAAGTTTAGGTTGGATATTGGGAAAATCTTTCTCACTAGAAGGGTGGTGAAACACTGGGCTGGGTTACCTAGAGAAGTGGTTTATTTACAGCTGAGAAACTGATTAAGGGCTGGAAATGCAGTAAAAGTTGTTTTCCTTTTCTGATATATAAATAAAATGTAAGCATGAGAGGCTGAGATCATCCAGTTCTAAAATTTAGAAGGACCTGATCCCCAGGAACAATACATGGATAATTCTTTTCTTTCTAATAAATTAGTGTTAGATGCAGGCTGTTTTCATTAACTTCTTATCTATCCACATTTAACATAGGCTATGGACAGACATGCATAGGGTGTAAAGTGTTTCAGATCTGACCAAAGTTTAAAAATGACCCTCAGAAGAAGCCAGATATTCTTTTGAAGTGCTTCATTTTGAAATCTTTCCTCAAATGTTTGCATGCTCCAGCTGTCCCCTGGCATCCCACAGTGCTCCACTCCCTACTCCCAGCCCATATAGGGAGAACAGGGAGCAGGATGGACAGCCACTGAATGCTCTCTGGTTCACTTAGCTGACCTTGGTGTCTCCCAAGGCTAAGACAGGCAGGGATTCTTACTCTCCTTGGTTGGAAAGCAGTGCTGCTGTATGCCTTCATAGCCACTTTGAAGTCCTCTGGACTAGGGTGGGGGCTGTGCGGTGTTTAAACATGCAAATTTAAAGCACTCTAAGGTTTGGATGTTTCAAATATGTGTCTGGCCATACCCAGAGATTTATTTAACTAATACAAAAATGTAATATGCCAATTCTCTGCATTTTTTCATTGAATTCCAATATCCATGCAAAAGCAGTTTGACCCAGATCAGGATTAAAGCATTAATCATCTAGAAAGTAAGAAATGTCATTCCTCATTTTCTAATAATCAACCTTTCTTTAGGAAAATAGCTAAAAGCTCAGATTTAAGAACAAGATGAAAATTATTTAAATTAGTGTTTCTTGGATTAAATTGCAATTCTTTATTTAAATCCCTGTGATTTAAATTAACTTGCCTGTAGTGGTATTTCACAGTATCTGAGTTTTCCTTTCTCTCATGGCTTTGTTCTCTATAGCCCTCTGAACATATATAAGTCAGTCCTTTGTAATCACCTTGGGTGACAAGTAGTCTTTGTTTATGTCATGATTACCATAGAGTTTACCTCTGAAAACTGATATTTGTGCATGCTTTTTAGGGTTTCCTATGCACTCCAGATGGGCTCTGGCATCATCCTAATCGAAGGAATAAGTTCAAACACCTGACAGACAATCCTATCTGCCTGACAGGAGCTGGGAGGTAAACAAGGAAAAGGAAATGGTTATGGTGAAAGAAAAAATGCAGAGGTTGGGAACACCGTGCTTTTACTTTACTTTCCTGTCGTTTTTTTAAATATCTAAAGATGCGCTTCCAAATGCTTCAGTTTTGGGAACTCTACGAGTAGAGCTGGTAACCAGCCATAGTAAAATGTGGAGAGATGTGGGAGCAATAAAAAATTAGCAGAAAGTAAGTCAAAAGTGACCTTTAAAATATCTTTATGAAACTGCTTTTTTGAAGTTGCCAGGAGTTAGAGATATGACATGGAATCCAAGATTTCTCTGAGGAAGCCCTGCCTGGCCTTAATAGATTTGGAAGAGAATACAGTTCTCCTTTAGCTTTTTGGCATAACATTATCTCTCCCCAGCATGATTAAGTCTGAGTCTTATGTTGTGTCCATACCAGAATTTAGAGATGTTGGTATCTGGTAGATCCTTGGTAGTGAGTATGAGAGAGAGTCTCTGACCCAAGGTTGTTAGACAATAGTTTGCCTTCAATGGAAAAATTAATCTGGCTAAAAATAACACCCTGTGAATTTTAATTAGCCAAGATAACATGGCTTTAGTTAAGCCCTAAACACAGAATAGTCCTTCTGTGGCTTTTGACTAGCTGGAGGAGAGCAGTGGAATGAATGGGTAGTGTTGGGTACAGTGAATAATTACTTTTTTCCATATTTTCTCAGGGATGTTTCCTTTCTATATGACATTGCACTTGGAAAAGAAGATGAGAGAGAGAGGTCCCTGGCAGGCTTTTTCTCTGAGAAGGGTAATAAACGAACACAAAATAATGGCTCGCCCATCGCTCCTACTGTGAGTGAAGAAATATGATAAGTACTTCTCAATTCTGTGGAACCACTGCATATAGTAATCATGGGATTTATGTAGTAGACTTTTCATATTTTTAGAGCAAGATTTTCATAGCATTAGTCACTTTGAATTACACTTTCCAGCAACCCCAATTTAATGTTATCTGCCTGGCTTTGCTGGAGCTTTTAAAGAAAATATTGGAAGAGAGCAGGTTGCATTGGTTGTCAGTTCAAACTCTGTCAGGTCTTGCTGTACCTAGCAATACTGACTAAGGAATGACATGCTTCCATTTTGATGTGGCCAGGGAAGATTTTTAGGTTTGATCCATTGGTAGGCCTCAGTTTTAGGGACAGACTTTAATTTGTGCTGAACATGTGTTTAATTATGTTTTTGTTGACTTCAGCAAGAACAGAGTTTGGGTAAATACTGAGCACAAATGAAAATATCTTCCTGACTTGGATGAACGGATGGATGGATGATTCCTGTGTGTATCCCTCTGACATTGGTCTGTGTTGGATTTAAGGTGGATTTCTTATGCAGCAGTCTCTTAATCCATTTCACTTGAAAACAAACAACCTCCCAAAAAAATTCATTGCTGCTTTTTGTTGCTCTAACATTTCCTTAGCACTACAACTCCTTTACCACTAGGGTGACTGTATGTCCAAGTTTGCCTGGGACAGTCCCAGATTTTAATGGCTGGTCCTGGCTGCCTGGGGAAAATTTAAAATGAGTCCTGGAATTGCAGGGATCTGGGGCACAGTTCAGCAGGGTGGCATGGTGCGCCAGGAGTGGACTGCACCTATGCCCCTGCCCACTGACCTCTGCCCACAGCAGTGTCATTGACTGCGGGGCAGGAGGGGTGGAAATTCAGCAGTGTCCTGGGTGTCTCAGACTTCCTTATGGTCACCCTACTTACCATGCACCACAGCAGTTGGAATTCAAGCATTGGTTCATGTTTGGTTATGTAAATGGATTTAAAAATCTATAAAATACATCCATCAGTCAGGTTCTAAATATGTGCGTGGATAAAAATAGTGCAAAAAAGTTTATGCACAAAATTTGTTTTCTAGGCAACCAAAACAAAACCAAATCCTCTTTTAGGAGAAAGTGAGAGTTCACATGTATTTTCCTTCCTTCCTTCCTTTTGTTTTAAAAAAGAAAAAAATGTCTTTCATACTCTGATGTATCTATTCTATCCTTAGCAGCCAAACATAGCAGACAGCCTGGTCCCTGAAGAATTTCACATTGTGAAGAACAGAGGAGTCATACCTTTGGAGTATTTTGACGAGTGAGTGCTTGTATGGCTCACAAGGAATTGTGCCCACAATTTAATGGCTTGCTTTACACTGTAGAGTGCAGAGAGATAATGAATCCAAAGCCATTGGGCAAAGATACCTGTACTAGTCAAGGAAACAGGAGTGTAAAATGTGTGGCTTAGCAGGCACCTCTAGCAATATGGGCCACTGACAGATGTGAAACCCCCCCAGCGTTTTACTAGAAGAGGCATCACGTTAGTTTGCCCTGGCTCGCCCAACATTGGTATAGATTGTGCACTTCAGTGGGGCTTTTTGGCACTTTTATGTAACAGCTGATTGAATCAAACTGATGCAATGCCTCTTCTCAGCATGCACTGCACTTGGCACGGGGGCACACTGAGCTGAAAGTAAAGTGCTGTTTGATATTTTATTTATTTTCATGTCTGTAAGCAGCCATGGTTATACAATACAGCCAGTCCCCCTGTCCCTGCAGAACCACCTAGGCAACAGTATTTCGCCTCACTGTCTTGCAGTGACTAAAGGAAGCCAGACCTATTTTCCATTCCAGTGACTACATTTCAAGGGCTTTTCTATCAAATGTGTTTACGGTTGGATTTGAGCGTGGGTGTATAAATTTGATCAAATGCTTAGAGGGAAGTGCTAACGGACTCCTTTAAGTCACCACTGGCTTTTATATGACTTCAATTAGCACTGGTTCCAGCCTTGGCCATTTTCAAGGTGCCTAAACCAAGCTGCAGAAGTGTGGCTAAGCAAAAGGACCCAAAGTGTGTTTCTGAGTAATTGTTGAGTGAAACATTGGAAATATGATAACTAACTTGGTCAGCAAAGTGAAGGAAGTGATCAACATATCCATCTAAAGTAGTAATAAGATCCAATTAAACAGACCACAGGGCCTGAAAGGAGACATTGTAAGGAAAGACCATACATTAAATAATGCAAATATACGATATCTATATCATAGCTTTATCTTTAAAAGTTATTAGTAGTGATTGATGTAACCAAATGTATTAGATGCTATTTGGCTATAATAGGTATATTTGTAAGATTCTTAGATAAATTATAAAAAACAGCTTTGTCAGAGAAGACCATAAACTAGGGTAAAAAAGAAACATGACAGTGCTGAACAGCATTCCACAAGGATATAAATCACAATGAATTGACACCTTCCAAGTCCACAAGAGACTTGGTTCAGTCCAGTCCCCAAACTTTTGGTGAAAAAAAGAAATTTAAATAAAACCAATCAGAAAGCACTTCTTAGAATATTTAGAACAAGCCATCTATAAATATAGGGTATAGATTGTGAGGAATTTTGGAGAACTAAGTAAATTCAAGGAGACCTGCTATCAGCCTGTGTACTACCTGCTTCCCCCTTGAGTCACCTCAGCGGGGATAGGTATGTTGTGCTGTCACAGGTAGACTTTGGAACTTGTTTTTGTGTTTCGGGGTGTAAGCAATAAAAGGTTTGGCTGTAGACATGTCTTTTTCCCTTTTATCAGTAGTCAATCTGCATGGTGACATGTAATCAAGGTAACACCATCTTGACCCTGTCTGCTATCTTCAGATTAACCCATAATTTTTTCCACCTTTTAGCCTTGAATTGAGTTCACCAGTCTTCCAGTTTAAATTTGTTCAGGACTTTTATTTCCTTTCCTTTCCTCCTTTGTTCAGCGAGTGAAAGCTAAATTAGGAATTAAATCCAAGCTTTTGTGGGTCAATATGAAGATACATAAAGTGGAATTATAATCATTTTTTCTGTTTCTTGCTGTTATATTGTTTTGGCTTTTTGTTTGCATTGGAGCCCCAGCCATGCACAAGGCTGTCCCCTGGCCATAGACAGCTTGCACTGTACAGACACAGCAAAAAGAGATTACAGTCTAGATAGGAGCTTTGGTACAAGGAGCTGGATTCTACAACAGGCAAAGAAAGTTTTCTCAGACCACTTCTCCATTTGTATTTGTTATAGTAAATACACAACTCTGCTTGAAGATTGTGAAAATAGGCTGAGGCTGTTCCCATCCATGTGAGTAGTGCCTTCCACCAATGTGTGCCAGAAAAAAGGCAGTATTGATTTAATTTCTGTGTAATGCATCATATTATTTTATGCAAAATTGTGGCACATTTCTTCTATCCTTATCTTTTAGGAAACCATCTGGGCGACTTGAGGTCATTCAGCTGATGAAGGTGATGGATAGCATGCTAGAAAAGGCTGGAGTAAATGATGAAACAATTGGGGTATTGGAGCCTTCCCAGGTAAAGATTCATCACAATCTTGAGAAATAACATCTCACTTACTGTAGGGGATAAATCCTGGAACATGAAAGGGCCTTCCCTTGTTTTAATTCTAAAGATAGTCTGCTACACATTCTCCTTTGCAGCCTGCTTGTGCTAATCAAGTTGCCTGTGCTAAGAATGTTAATGTTGATCTTGATCTTGATCTTCCCTGTTAATCTTGATCTTCTTTGTCAAGACTAGTAACTAATGTGTTGGTGTTAAATACTGGACTTTCCTGATACAAATGTTCTTGCCAACAGAGGACATGTTGTGGACTCCTGCTGTGAGGTAACTAAGGCAGCAGAATCCTCCTCTTCTGATTTGTAAAGTATAATGTTAGACTACAAAAATACTACTGATACAAAAGTAAAAAGAGGCGCTAAGAGTTGAGCTCTTGAGTAACATTGCAGGTCTGAAATGGCATGTCGGGGCATGTTCCTATCTTGGGGTTACTTTCAGTTATTACATGCATAGTAATTGGGCAGATTTAGATACATGGGAACGGGGGTAAAGACATTCAGAGCTGGTTTTAATTCTTTACATTTGAGATAATGGTAAAGCCCCTTAACTTGATGGGAAGCAAGTCAAAATCATGGTTTGGAGTGTTGGCGGACTTCGCAAGTATTACCTGACAGGGGTCACAAAGTGAATGCTTCTGCTATGGCCCCCACTACTTGGCCTATCCTCATACTACATTGAAAACCAATTACATACCAACCCAGTGAATACATAAGTGTGTGCCTTCCATCTGAAAAACCACGAGACCAACTGCCAGCTCAACATTACATGGTCCTGGACCCCACTGTCACATTGTCCAAATCCAGTTTACCTTGGAGTTGCCCTCAATTGAACCATTTCATACAAAAAAACACATCATGAAGACAAAAGCAAAGATGAGCACTTGTAACAACATTTTATATAAGCTCACCAGCTTGAAATGGGAAGCTAGACCTCAACCATCTGAACCACTGCTCTGGCTCTCAGCTTCTCCTCTGCTGTGTGTGCATGCCCTGTATGGGAGAGATCTGTACATGCCAAGCACCATGACCCCATTCTGAATGATAGCTGCCAATGCATCATAAGATGTCTGAAGCCTGCCAGCTTAAACAGTGTGTACCTGCTGGCTGGCATTGCTCCACCTGACATCAGAAGAGCAGTGGACAGCAGGATATGATGAGACCAAACTGAAGACATGAGACACCAGCCATACAACCCCCTGCATCAGACAAACATCTGAAGTTATGCAGGAGCTTCCTCACCAGCACCCAGCCTCTTGATACCACACCCAAGGAGACACCACAACTACAAATGTGGAATGAGAGGCTGAAGAACATACCTGACAGAGAAAAAATGGACATTCCAGCCACTGAGTTCTTGCTACCAGGGGCTGATGAACCATGACAGGTAGCTGTGTCTCAACTGCCTACATACTGGAGTTGGACATTCCAAGGAGCTAATGAAGAAGTGGGACTATACCGTTGGTTCAACCACAAGTGGCTGTGGCACAGCGTCAGATTATGTAACACCTGCTGCAATGCCTGCTGCTTGAAAGCGCATGTACAGTGAAAGATCTTGCAAAGTACAATAAATGAGCACAAGTATGTATGACAAAATGGTCATATGCGGTGTAGAGACGCAAGAAGAAGAAGAATGGCAAGCAAGTTAAGCAATTGCTGACTGTTTTTGAAACTGTACTGATGAACTTATGCCCAGTAGTTTTCTCGTATTCTCCATTTCTTTATTATTGGTTTATTCAGAAAGGAAAATCTAGCACAGGGGTTCAGGTTTTTTAAACTGAACTTTTGTCCATTTCTTTTCTCCCAAGTTCATTGCTGCCAAAGGTGAATTTCCTTTACCATACCCTGATGCTTTCATGTCTTTCACCAGCTGCACAATGTACTGAAGGTGCTGAAGGCAGAGCAGAACATTTACAACATAGTGTTCCATGAGCTGATTCGACAGGTCAGCGTGGATTGTGCAGAAAGAGGAGAACTGCTTTCTAAGCTCAGGTCAGGTCAGGATTAATGGAGTTCCCCAGTTGCTCTTTCAAGATTTATGGTAGTGTCTTGATTAGCTTTGTATTTCATAAAACCATTAGTTGCCACCAGGAATGTTAATTACCCTTAACTTTGGTACTTTTTCCAGCATTGCTTCTCTATTCTCTGTATGTCTTGTCTAGTTGGAGTTATCAAATAGAACTCTGTTTCACTATATATTTCCAAAACGAAAGTTTTCCAGCCACATACATGTCATTTTTGGCAAGTATACAGTTTATGATTCTGTGACCTGTGTAGTGTGGGTGTGTAAGCATCTGCACCTTTACTGAATATATGCCAATCACAGTGGTAATTGCCTACCTATGCATATACCTGAATGTAAGTCCTGAAAAAATAGTAGTAGGAGGGGGGCCCGTCCATGTTTTAGCTCCAATAATTGAATGTATAGGGCACTCGCCCAGAAGCTTTAGGTGCCCCAAATACCCAGACGTTTGAACCTGAATTTAACTCCTCAGCACACTGCCCCAACCACCATACCACAGATCAAGAATTATCCAGTCCCCTCTCCAGCCCTCTTCTTGAAGCTTTGGAACTAAACTATGCATTTATTATTCATTGAATTTAATGGATGGAAAGTAGTGGAAAAGTTTCTCCCCCATTGGAAGCAATGGTCCAGGCTAGAATCCCAGACTTTCTCCCATCTAGAGCAGCATCAGTCTTATAGAGCTAGTACCCTCTAATTTGCTGTCTGTCTTCTGGCTCCACATAACTGTATCTCCTGGTTGTCCAGGAGGGCAGCTTCAAAAAGAGGATTGGAGAATGGACTGGATAATGCCCAGACTGTGGCACCCTGTCCCCCAGCCTTGGTTTTTGCTTGTGGAAGTGTGTGACTTGAAACATTGAACATACACGCATATGTACATAGCCACGTATCTGTCTGACGATTGTGTAGGCTGTAGTGCATGTTCAGCAGCCATGTGGATGTTTGTGTGTCCACGCTGCAGGGATAACGGAATCTCAGACTGCGTAAGTGCCAAGAATGCCACTTGTGCAGCTGGAAATCTGCCATTTGGCTGCTTAATGTGAAATAAAATTCTGTCTGTTGTGTCTAGAGCAGCTGAGAGGTCCCTGAGTCAGGGTTCTTGTGTCATTCCTTATAATAACTTTTATGTTCAGAAATACTTTATTTGGGGCATCTAAATTTGCCAGCAGTGTTAAAATCCCAAATATATCTTCTCAAAAGATGACCTTATAGAAACTCTTATATTCAGTGGTGATGCTCCTTTCCTCAGACACTGGATTAGAAGACCTGCATTCTCAAAAAGGTAAGTCAACTTTCAATTTTTTTCTACCCTTCTTATTACAGGCAGAAATATGTGAGTCTACTGAATTGGATTCCCCAACAGATGAGGAACCTTTACGAAGAACTGATGGCACAACGGGTAATGGACAAACACATTACAGAAGAGTTGCACAATTTCAAGGAATCCATTGGACGGCTGACCAGGTCTGAATCATGACTGATTCCCATTACCTTCTGTGCAGTAGGGCTAGTATGTAGATAGAAGTTTTTTGCTCTTCCCCAGACACTTGATTTCTTCTCTTACGTTTTGTCTGGCAGATCAGAGGGATATTAACTATTTTACAGCTTTATACCGTATACAATACTTTACAGCTGCAGCAAAGTCTTGTATAATATCTGAATAGTCTAGCTTGCAACTAGTATAATGACCCCTAAACCAGACTGTAATGCAGACAGCCTGAAGCATTGTGTCATTACATGGTTTCCACAGTTCTGGCAGTCCCATGAGTCCTGCAGTGCAGGAATGGAAGATGACAGTGAAGACACATTGCTTAAAATGTCATGTAGGGCTGTATACAAAGGGATAACTTGTGTACAAGATCATAGTTTGTATGCATTGGACAGGCATAGCAATGGATGATTGTCTGTTTTAAGGAGAATCCCATGTTAGTGCTTAGGATACTCTGACTGAGATTGCTGGATAGGATAGGAACTGTAATAGATGTGCTGGGCTTTGAAAGGACTATTCTGGGCTATTTCAGTGAGCTGCAGGAGGTCCGAGAACATGATCTCAGAGTCACCAGAGAAGCAGAACGGGCACAAGAGGAACTAGCTGCTGCAGTACGGGACTCTGAGCTGAATGCAAAGTGAGTTGCTTTCAACTTAGGGTGGGCTGAGGGAGTGAAGCAATACCGCGTCTGAGCTAAAGGCAAAACACATGCTTCTGTTATTGAGTGAAAATATGGCATGTGACACATTGGTCACTTTCTCGTAGTCATTAGGAAAGATAGGTTATTTCTGTGAGGGAGAATGCGTGGTTCTCTCTCCAGATTCCTCAAAGGGGTAAGAAGTTCTTCTAATGTTTCAAGTTTTAACAAATAGAGGTAATTTTTATTTATTATCTATGTATCTCACATTTTATTGGGTTTGGACAGATACCCCCCACTTCTACTTGTTCTCTATTGATAATCTCTTTATAGCGTAAAAATCTGAGAATTGCTAGAAAGGATAGAGGGGTTCAGACTCCTATATTAAGTTCTAAGTTACCTCTGACCTAGGAAAATCTTGTAACCTGAATAAATCAGTCAGCCAGGACTATCTTCAAGCTTGAGACTGAAGATTTGCCTCAAGGCTTGCTGAGAATTTTCAGTGAGAATATCATTGGAAAGGCTTGTAGGTGGATCAGGGAAAAGAGAATTGTTGGATTCATAAGTTGGTGGAGTAGGATGGGCAAGATAAGGTTGCTGAGAGGGCAAGTATCTTGAGAAATGTTTGGAAGCTCTGAGAAAAGTAGAAAACTGGATAGGAAAAAAGGGATGTGATTCCAGTAGCTTATCCCATATTTCAGTGTGTTTTTTCTTTTTCTTGTAGCCTTGTGGAAGAATATAGAGAGCTATATGAGTTGCAGAGAGTGAGACTTGAGGGCCAGCTGCAGCTGTTAATTGAAGAGAGAGAAATCTGGAGCTCAGCTACATATGACCTAGCACTGAAAGTAGGTATGGGTGGGATTGTGGAAACTATTGCCATTCTGTAAGATGCAAATCACTATAGCTAGAGCACCCACTCCACTCCGGGATTCTAGAGGCAGGTGTTGATTAACTGAAATTTTGTATTACTGCTAGTATACCTGTCAGACCTGTCTAGATACCGTTTCCCAGTGCACTGATGCTTTTTTTTTTTTTGTCTTGTTTACTATGGAAACCCCACCTTTGTATATTTATTTTTCTGGCTCTGGTCTCAAGGCTTAGTGAAAGAAGAATAACTTGGTTAAAGTCAGAGTGGCTTGTATGCATTCAAAAATAGTGGCGCTAAATTCTTCTGGATTTTCCTCACGATTTAGATGATCTAAACCCAGATAACTTGGACACTTTTACAAAGTAAAATTCTAGTGTCACGGGGCAGGGTCCTAAGAGCGGCCGTGATCTCTCTTGGCACCCCCTACCGTGCCAAGTTAGGGTCCGTGCACCCTCGTTCTCACCCGCCAC